TGATGTCCCCAATGTCCCATTGCTGTCCCCAATGTCCCCAATCAGAGCTGTTTGTCACCGAGCTGTCCCCAGTGATGTCCCCAATGTCCCAATGATGTCCCCAATGTCCCCAATGTCCCCAATCAGAGCTGTTTGTCACCGAGCTGTCCCCAATGCTGTCCCCAATGTCCCCAATGATGTCCCCAATGTCCCCTCTGTCCCCAATCAGAGCTGTTTGTCACCGAGCTGTCCCCAATGTCCCAATGATGTCCCCAATGTCCCAATGATGTCCCCAATGTCCCCATTGCTGTCCCCAATCAGAGCTGTTTGTCACCGAGCTGTCCCACCTGCGTGTTCTGCGTGTCCTGGACCTGCTCTTTTACCAGCGCCTGCGCCGGGAGCAGCTGCTGAGCCGGGAGGAGCTGGGGCTGCTCTTCCCCAACCTGCCCGACCTCATCGACGTGCACAGTGAGCAGAAATAACAAAAATCCTCAAATCCCAAATCCCTAAATTCCCGAAATCCCCAAAATTCCTGACCCCATGGGTTCCCTCAGCCCCGCTGGGATCCTGCTCCTCCCCAACCTGCCCGACCTCATCGATGTCCACAAATCCCAAAATTCCCAAATTCCTGAAATCCCCAAATCCCAAATGGGTTCCCAAAACTCCACTTTTTAAATTTCTGTTCTCTCTTTCTCCCCTCCCTTTTCTTTTTTTTCCCCCTTTTTTCCTTCTTTACGTTTTTTCCCTCTCTTTCCTCACTTTTTTCACTCTTTTTCCCTTTTTCCCTTTCCTCCCTTTTTTTCTCCCCCTCTCTTTTCTCTCTTTTTCCTTTCCCTCCTCCTTTATTCCCATCTTTTCCTTCTCTTTTCCCTTCTTTTTTCCCTTTGTTTTCCCTCTTTTTTCCCCCTTTCCCCCTCCTTTTTTTTCCCCTTTTCCCCGTTTTCCCTCCTTTCCCCCCTCCCATTATTCCCATTTTTCCCAACCCTTTCCCAGATTCCCTTTTGGAATCCATGAAGAAACTCCGGGAGGAGGAAGGAGCCGTCATCCGCCAGATCGGCGACCTCATGCTGGCCCGGGTGAGCCGAAGCCTGGAATCCCGGGAATCTGGGGAAATTTGGCAATTCTGGGATTTCTGGCCATTCCCTAATCCCGTTTTTCCCGGAATTCCCAGTTTGACGGGGCAGCCAAGCAGGAGTTCCAGGCCGTGGCTGCCCCTGGAACCCCAGGAATTAAAACACAGGAATTAAACCCCGGGAATTCTGGGGATCCCAGGAATTAAACCCCGGGATTTCTGGCATTTCTGGCCATTCCCTAATCCCATTTTTCCCCCGGAATTCCCAGTTTGACGGGGCAGCCAAGCAGGAGTTCCAGGCCGTGGCTGCCCCTGGAACCCCAAGAATTAAAACACAGGAGTTAAACCCCGGGAATTTTGGTATTTCTGGCCATTCCCTAATCCCGTTTTTCCCGGAATTCCCAGTTTGACGGGGCAGCCAAGCAGGAGTTCCAGGCCGTGGCTGCCGAGTTCTGCTCGGCGCAGTCGGTGGCGCTGGAGCTGATCCGCACCAAGCAGCGCAAGGAGAGTCGCTTCCAGCTCTTCATGCAGGTTTGGGATCCTTCCCCTGCAGGTTCCCACACGGATTTTACCTTTCTGTCCTCCTCCTATGGCCCCTTTTTACCCTCCTTTTACCCCCTTTTTTTTAGCCTTTTTTTTCCTGATTTTTCCCCCTTTTTTTTCCTTTATTTTCCTTCCCTCCCTTTTGTCCCCTTTCTTTCCCCTCTTTTCCCTTCCTTTTTTCCCCCTTTTTTCCCTTTTTCCCCCTTTTTTCCCCTTTTCCTTTTCCTCCCTATCTTTCCCCCTTTTTTCCTTTCTTTTCCCTTTTTCCCCTCTTTTTCCCTTTATCTTCCCTTTTTTCCCCCTCCTTTTTCCCCCCCTTTTTTCCCTTTCTTTCCCCCTTTTCCCCTCCCCTTTTCCCCTTTCTTTTCCCCTTTTCCCCCTCCTTTATTTCTCCTTTTATTTCCCCTCTCTTTTCCCTTTTCCCCCCATTTTTTCCCCCAATTTTCTCCCCAGTGGGGTCAGCAATTCCAGAATTTCAGTAAGCAATGGGATCAGGGATTCTGGGATTCCAGGAGCCAATGGGGTCAGGAATTTGGGGATTCTGGGTCAGAGATCCAGGATTTCGGGCACCCACGAGCTCAGGAATTTCAGAATTCCGAGATTCCAATAGAGTCAGGAATTCCAGACTTGTGGGATTTCAGGATTTCAGGAGCCGGTAGGGTCAGGGATTCTGGGATTTCAGGATTTCAGGAGCCCGTAGGGTCAGGAATTCTGGGATTTCAGGATTTCAGGAGCCGGTAGGGGCAGGGATTCCCGGGTTCGGGGATTTCAGGAGCCGGTAGGGTCAGGGATTCTGGGATTTCGGGATTTCAGGAGCCAGTAGGGGCAGGGATTCCCGGGTTCGGGGATTTCAGGAGCCGGTAGGGTCAGGGATTCCCGGGTTCGGGAATTCCAGCCCGTGCCCCGTTGCAGGAGGCCGAGAGTAACCCGCAGTGCCGGCGGCTGCAGCTCAAGGATCTGATCGTGTCCGAGATGCAGCGGCTCACCAAGTACCCGCTGCTGCTCGACAACATCATCAAGTGCACCGAGGGTAGGGGGGCACCGATCCCAGAAAATCCCCATTCCCTCGGTTCAGTTCCCTCACAGCGTTTTCCCCACTTTCCCCCCGTTTTTCACTGAGTTTTCCCCATTTTTCGCTGCATTTTTCTGTGGATTTTCCCC